TGCAAAGAACCACACCTCTCCAAGTCCATAGCGCAAAGTATCTGTAAAAAGATTGAAGTCACGGTGGTAACGAGGTATGCTGAAGACTGGTCTGGATCTTACCACCTCCTTCAGCTGGACACATTGCTGGCACTCAGGAGTCCCTCTGTCGTCCACTGGCTCCTTCCTCCACAACCTGTTCTGTCGTCTGGCGGTCATCGGCCACTCGCTTGACACCTGGATGTCATCTGCTGGTTGTTTTATAGTGACGCCTGATCTCTTTCTGGCTCGGATCTTCACCATCTCATTTGGGGAAAGGATAGGCAGTTTCCTCTCCTCCCTCCGAGCATTTCTGGATGTGTCCCTCTTTAAGCCATCAGAGCGGATGCCTTTCTCCTCAGTCACATATTGTCCCACAGGTACTATCACTGAAATGTTTTCCTTATGTGGGAGAACACTATCATGGGTCACTTTAGGCCTGTCAAGTGCAATCTTAAATGGTTGGTTGGTTTTAGATGCACTGCTCTTGTCATCTGATTCTGATTCTTTATTCAGGGATATTTCAGGTAGGGGTTTGCTTTGCAAAGTTTTATGTTCTACTTGTTCTACCTCTGCCAAAAGCAATTTTCTCCCCTCCTACTGCTCCTGAGCCAAACTATTTTCATTTGAGGTTTTCACTACCATGAGTTCAGCTTCAGCACCACTCTTAAGCTGGGTAACCACGGAAACCTCTCTCTCCAGGCTCCTATCTGATACTGTAACAATTTCAGCAGCAGAGGGTGATTCCTTGCCTCCTGGTGAAAGTGTAAGTGCAAAAACACTCTTAACATGCTCTATTAACTGCAACACATCTCCATATATCAGGTCTTTGTCAGTCACAGATTTCTCTGGGTATTCAGGGGTTAGTGTTGTACCATTTTTCAAAGTACTATCTTCCCTCTGTTCCTCAGTACAGGAAGGAACATTAAGGGTTTTCAAATTGCCCTCATCAACCATTTTGGTTACCTCATGATCCTTTTCTAAACTGGAGCATCCCTGAATAGATTCAGAGGTTAGGGAATCAATTTTTCCCTCAGAGTCATCTGCAGTTCCCAAGCAGTATACTTTCTTGATCTGGCCATTATTCTCCACATTTTTAGGTTTATTCTTTGTACAATTGTATTGTAAATGAGCAGGCTTGCCACTTTTGTAATTCCTTCTCTCATCCTGAAGAGATCTGGTAAACTTTTCCTCAGAGTTCACTTGGTTCTGAGGACTAGGCGGTACTAATTTAGGTGAGGCACCAACCTGGCCTTCATTCCATGTAATTTCGCTGAGGCAATCTCTATTAAATGGCTTCTTATTGTTGTCCCAGTTTTTACCACCAAGTTTTACCTCAGAATAATTTGAGTTTCTTAATTCTTTTGTATAATCATCTCCTTTTGATAGATTCCCTTCAGGATTGGATTTATTATTATTATAGTTTCGGACTGTTAAATCCATCAGTTTTACTCTCAATTCAGCTCTGAGCTGTAAATTTTTTTCCTCAGTCCTAACTTTGATTTCTAACAGTTTTTCTTTTAATTTCATGCTGCAGCTTCCATTTTTCAAAATCTTGTGTCCTTTGCCTGGTCTCAGCAATGACTCACCAGACCGGCATCCACAGTAGGTGCAAGAGGAGCCTCCACCGATGCGGCCCCTCTTTTCCTCCTGCCTCGGAGTGCCAGGGTTGCTCAGCAGCCTGCCGTGAGTGGCCCTGGCGTGGTGGGCTACCCAGCCAGGCAACTCTGCCCTGCACCAGTCCTGGCTTCCCCATTTCTGAGAAGGAACTGATGCCCGGGCGGGTGAGAAGGAGGGACCGCTGCTTCCTTCCTTGCTCCACCGCAGGCCGTGACCTGAGGCTGTGCCTTTTTTTTCTATTTCATCCCTTCCCCGCTGTGTTGAAAAGCAGGCAACATTGCACAAACGGAGGCTCCCTGGCCGTTGTGTGCCCGCGTGAAGGCGCAGGCCTTTCAAAGGGTGGGGCGGCAGCCTGAACGTTCTGGGACAGAGCAGTTCAATGAGGGGGCAGACGGTCCTTACTGTACAAAATGGGGAGGGGGAGGAATAGCCAACCGGTGCGGGGGAGGGGCTTGGACCTCAGAAACGGGGCCTGTGTGGAATCTCGACTCTGCCTTATCAGAAACAAAGTCAGGCAGCAGAATGGCACCCAAGGCCTGTGTACCAAACCGCTGCTGTATCAGGGATTTTAAATCTTACAATTTTTCCAGCAATTATAAATGACTCATGCTGCTAATCATGTACAGGGTAGATACTTAGGGAAATCTTTGTGACCCACAATAATCTGAGAGGGGTTGGTGGCAGCATAAGGATATAATTTGCTGGAGCAGGATGAAACTGCCTAACAAGAGTTGTGTTTGGAGGCCAGGAAAATTTATCTTAAAACAGCAGCCAACCAAAGGTATCTTAGGACAGGCACAGCCCTTCCTCCCTCACTTCTTTAACCATAAGAAATCTTAGCATTGGATGAGTAGGGGCACTTACCAGGGAATTTTCCGTGTCATCTAGAAATAGGGGTGGTGTAGGTCATGATTTGTAAAACTAGTTCAAAAGTATAATCAAGAAAATAATCTTACGTGAGACAGAAGAGTACCATTTGAGATTACATTGGTGCCTCACTTAACGATTACCTCGTTAAATGATGAATCCGCTTGACGGTGAGGTTTTTGCAATCGCAAACCAATGTTTCAATGGCCAAAAATCGCTTTACGATGATCTGTTCCCTCTTCGGGAACCGATTCTTCGCATTACGACGATCTGAAAACAGCTGATCGACGGGTTTCAAAATAGCCGCCTGCTATGCAAAATGGCTCCCCGCTGGTTTTAGGAGGCATTTTTCACTTTACAGGCACTGGAAAATGGCCGCCCTATAGAGGATCTTCGCTGGATGATTAGGTATTTAGCCCATTGGAATGCATTGAACCGGTTTTCAATGCATTTCAATTGGGTTTTTTTATTTTCACTTCACGAGGATTTCGTTCTACAGCGATTTTGCTGGAATGGATTATCCTCCTCAAGCGAGGCACCACTGTATTTCTATTGCCAATCTCACATTCAACTAAAAGAAAAATTTGACCATGTCTCTTTAATGGACTTCTACAAGGTATATGTTCCCAGAGAAAAATATCCTTCACTTCACAATCATGCCTTATTCATGTCATCACTATTTGGAAGTACCTGCATTTGTGAGCAGCTATTTTCAAGGCGTGGTGGCGCTGCGGGTTAAACCGCAGAAGCCTGTGCTGCAGGGTCAGAAGACCAAGCAGTCGTAAGATCGAATCCACGCGACGGAGTGCGTGCCCGTCGCTTGTCCCAGCTCCCGCCAACCTAGCGGTTCGAAAGCATGCAAATGCAAGTAGATAAATAGGGACCACCTCGGTGGGAAGGTAACAGTGTTCCATGTCTAAGTCGCACTGGCCATGTGACCATGGAAGATTGTCTTCGGACAAAAACGCTGTCTCTATGGCTTGGAAACGGGGATGAGCACCGCCCCCTAGAGTCGAACACGACTGGACAAAAATTGTCAAGGGGAACCTTTACCTATTTTCAAGGCTGAAACACACAAAGAATAAAACTAGAACCAAAATATCTGATGAGCACCTTGAGCACTCACTGAGAATTGCAATAAGTTCCATCAAAGCCAATATGAATGCATTAGTGGCTGAGAAACAATGTCAAACATCTCACTAACTTTTTTATGTGTGGCCCAAACCAAATTTGCATCTTCTAATGTGTGCCAGGGAAGGTGAAAGGTTGGACACCCCGGGACTAGAGGGAGAAGAGAAAACTCATGGAATCCCACCCAGGAGACTATCCAGAGGGGAACCTCAAGCACAGGAGGAAGGGGATGAGTCGAGAGGAAGAGATGCCGAGGAAAACTGGGCTCAACATTCAGGCTGTGACTCCTTATGTACGGGCTGATGCTCATCTCCTCCCCAAACCTGTCTAGAGAACCAAAATGTCCATCGAAATGACTCGTTGTAACGTACCCCAGAATGATACGATTTTTATGTTTTTGCCCTTTGACTCCGAGTTAGAACCGTTTGAAGTAGGAGAAAAGAAGTTACCAAAGCCGTTAATAAATGTTGGATCATTTGAGTGTGAACAAGACACCCTCCATCCTTTCTAAGGGGGGGGTGGAGGAGTAAGGGGGAAAATGAAACCCACTCACAGGGGGAGGAAAACATTAGTGGCTTTGCAGTTACCAGCGAGGAATCCTGAACAAAGCATAACAGGCTGCGAGATCTCTAGTGACTTTCACCTCCCACAAGGCTAAGCCCTTCCCACCACCTTCTTCCATCTTCAGGCAACTATGTGTTGCTTTGGCCTGGAACTGTCCTATTATTTGGACTCTAACATCACCCGAAAGGTGCCAAAGGATACTCAGTAGGGGGCTAATCCTTCGGAAACCAGATTTTGAATCCCCATCCCCTTGGTCACGGGAACTCAATGAAGACACTTGGCACTAGTAAAACCACTCCTTTAACACATA